TATTTGGAAACAAACTGAAAAACAGAGTATTTTGCTTGACTCAGATATCAAATTAAGGACAGAGACTGAATGGTATTAATATCACCATTTATCACCACCCTGTGCTAAAAGTATATTATCTATACTAAAGTAATTTGCCAAGCTAAGCTTAAAGCAGGTGAGGTTCTTTTGGAATCAACTTTTGCCTGCATGACAACACCAAGATCCTAGGTAATACAGACACATGCCTTTGGAGATTCTACAGAGTTGCTTTGACATTTTATATATATTTTCAGATCCCACTCTGTGTTCCTGTTGTGCAAGGTGTAAGAAAACAAAAATCTTTTTGGACGTCACGATTTGGGTATAGAGACTCCACTTTGCAGGTCACATACTACATCCTTTCCCTTTCCTTGTTAACTTTCCTAGATCAATATATACAGAAGTGAATTAAATATAGTCAATTAAAGGCTTATAATTTTGTCATTTGCAAGCAAAAATTCAATCCAGAGAAAAGCTTAGCATAAACAAGATGGGAACTGGTGAATCACTGTTTAAGTCTGAAGAATCTCCTTGCCTTCTGACTTAAAAGCCTGACAAGCAAATTTGTAAATAATAAGTTACTCATCTCAGCTCTAAACTATGTTATTTTGTTACTCTCCTTAATTGACTGTGGCAATAAAACAAAATGTCTAACATAATTGAGTAGGGTGAGGTCCTGGTTATTGCTGCATGATTACCTGCAAGACTAGATTTATCATAAGGAATTCCCTCAAACCTCTGCTTAACACAATGAAAAAATGTACCATCACAATCATTAACAAAACGCATCATGAGATAATGAAATCTATTTTAATAAATACATATTAGTCAGTGGTGGGATCTGGTTCAGTGACTCACTGAGTAACCTTGTGAATTAGAGAACTAAATTATTGCTTACCATAGCTATGCTCCTTTATTTCTCAAATCTAAACTATACTGTGCTAAAAGGAAAATGGGAATAATTTTCACTGTAGAAGTGTTTCAAATTCTAAGTTATTACCCGCAAATATTCAATTTAACTCCTTTTCTGTATTGTGAACACAATAAGGTTCGCTTAATTCATAGAAATGCAGAAGTGCCAATGAAGTGCCATCATTAATTTCAAGCTGCATTAGGTTCAGTTACAAGCTTGAGCACCAAGTTCGGAGTCAAACTTTCCTAAAATTTGTAAGGTTTGGTTTGGAATCAATTTTACATCATTTATACATTGCATTCAGCTGCTAGAGGGCACCTAACACTTGCCTATTCCATCCTTACTGCTTCTGGAAAGTAATTTTCTAATGCTAAGTCTCTTCTTCTACCACTACCTTATTTGCCTGAAGAGGAAACCCTCACTCTACTTTCCTATAAACCTACAGGGCTGGGCAAAATTTCTTCTCTTTTAAAAAGGTTATGAGTTTGTAAAGTCTGATACTTGTTCATTAAGCATCCTAGTGAACCTGAAGCCTCAGGTCTGTCATGCTGAGCTTATTTTTTACTGGGAGTTATCAGTGGCCATCAAGAGTAGGTGCTCTGCTTGCCATATTGCAGCAGGATGGAAGAAGGGACGGTCCACTTATCTCCTGGGGAGTCTTCACAGAGGGCTGACACCAAGCATCAGCTGCTGCAGCTTTCCTGTGGGAGAGGAGTTGCTGCACAGCTTCCCCTCAAGCTTCTGGCTCAATACCATCAATCCAAATGAGTATCTGGTAGGTCATGCAGGTCCCTACAAGTTGCAGGGACTCACTCTAGAAAATGAGGGAAACAACTGCTCCTCACAATACAGAACCTAGGTGTTCTTGGTGACACAGGGATATTCTACATTTAGTGTGGTATTCCAGAGTCATCTTAAGAGTCCCCAAATCCACTGGTGCAACTATGCCTAGGAAAGCTCGCAACGAGGCAGAGAAAAGACAGGAAGACACTAAAACCCTACATCTCCTTCAGACAGGATCCTGCAAAATCCTCACGGTCCTGACAGCCTGGCACAGACAAGGTGCAGTAACACTAACTTTCTATATATTGCAGGGATGCACTAAAAGCATGTGTAGATGGCATCACAGACATTAGCTCAAACAGCAAGAAGCCAACATAAATCCAGTTGGCTTTGATTAAGGCTATAGAAGATCCCATTTTCAGAGAGCAGGAGGTTTTTCTATCCAAAAAGACTTAATGGTGTCTTAAGTTACACAGTGACTTTACTGCAGGAATCCAGAAAAAACCAAAAGATATGGTCTAGTGAGTGTTAACCCTTATTAGACATAGAAGGGAAAAATCCTCTAGTTTGACTGAATCTGCAAGTTTGCTAAAAGAAGTTACATTTTAGTAAGCTTTAGTCTGACATTAAGTATCAATGTCCTGTACTTTTAATTTAAAATGTCAATTTTCATAATGAATGTCAACTTCGTTCAAGAATGAGCTTCAGTGTTTTCCCTTGCTTTAAAACAAGGCTGGTACTGTTATTTGGAATAGTTTTTTCAGATGATAGAGGGAACAATCACTATTCAAGCCCAGCTTATTAGTGAGAGATTGGAGTAATGTTTATGTTGCATTTTTTTATAATTTCTGAGGATATTTCCCATAAAATATTCTCTGCCTCATCCCTCTGTTACTCTAACAGCTTTCAGTATACAGTTGCTGCCCCCAAACAAATACAACATGGTGACAAAATTTTACTGCAAGTATTAGTTAGGCACTTTTCAAAAAAAAGTCTGCAGTAGTAACATTTTTATCTATCTCTTTTTGATAGGATGTGCAGCACCATGGTTTTTGCTGCTTGTATGGTATGCACAGTAGAATTGGGTTTAACAGACAGATGCAGATGAACAAATAATATAAAAGCCTGTTTACTTCTGGTAAAACATGTCTGCATGCTCTGACACTGAGCATCTTCGTTCACTTGTACATTTACTTTACATTTACCAAGTGAGTCAGGCCCAGTGCACTTGCCATCTATAAAATCAGTAGTCAAATGTCTAGAAATCTCACTTCATTTTGTACTGAAAAATTAAGCCAACACTACCCTTTAGATAGAAAACAGTAAATACGTAAAAACCTGAAAACAGTGAGAAATCCAAAATCAGGATCACTGCTTTTCCTTACACAGATTTCAGATTATGGAAAAGCAGTAAAAAGAGTAAGTCAGAGGTCTCCATGACAGAGAGCACAGGAACACAAAACCCCAGGTGCCCCACCTCTGTCAGACCAGAGGCGTACACACAAAGAGGCATCGCTTTTAAGGTCAGTAATCATGGTAGAGGGGTTATGTGGAGGGCCCTGCTCCTTGCATGAACAAAGACTGAGTATTCACCAGTACATCCCTCACCACAGATGTCTCCCTAGACAGCCCATGGAAAGCACCAGCATTTCCCAGAAGCTGACAGGATCTGAAAGATGGTAGGATTCATCTACAGGGGATAAAAGTGAAAGTGCTATTGCCAGAAAAAAAATCTGGAAAATTTTTGCTTTCTTTAACCATGGAGAGGAAAGAACACATGAATGGAATTTTAAATAATGTGTATGTATCAAAATAAAAAAGAAATAATTAATTTAGTCACACTTGTGTGACTCTACTTCACAAATAAAAAGAAGTGCTTTATTTTCTCTCAGTCTATAAGGGCATGACCAGTACTATTTCCCACTAGCCTAAACTGGGTTTTCCTTCATGTTTTTCAATGGTGAGTCAGGACTAAATTATCCTCAAAGCTCTGCTTAACCAGTAAGTTATTCCCTTTGTCCTGGGAAAAATGATGGACCCATCTTACCCCTGATGTCTTTCTACCTCAGCCATAGCAAACCCTCTGATGGTCTTATGACCCAGAAAATACCTTCTATCAGTCTTACTGATAGCAGCACTTTGATGGGTGGCAGTAACTTTGCCAGCATGCAAGAATGCATTCCATCAGAGCCCAAGTCCTCCCCTTTCTAGTAGCTCCTCTTTACTCCTGACTTCCAGCCAGCCCTCCCACTCTGTGGTGGGCTTCCTCCCTGCTCACTGCCACCCTCTTCCCTTTCCCTTCCCCAGGCACCCAGAAACAGATTTACAAAAAGCAGAATCGAAACTCCAGTTTGATAATTAATCTTTAATGAAAAGCACAATCTCTAGAAGCTTAAAAGTGTCATCCCTAAAACTGTTGTGAGTTTCAATCTGTTTTGATGAAGACAGTGAATAACATTTTTTTTCAAAGGTTATAGAGAGGGGTCTGTACAGTACACAAGGATAAATCAAGATCTGCCTGTGCCTTAACACTGAAGTTAACACAGCATCCAGGTTGAATGCTACAGGGACCTAGACTAAGTGGTCACTGGTTTTTTATTTTTTTTTTTTTTTTTACACACTGCCTAATGGGTTTGCATCAGTATAGAGAATACATCAGGTAAAAAAAACCCAACAGGGTCTTGATTTATTCTTTTTCTTTTTAGATTTGCCCTTCTTTATTTACAACAGTGGCAAAATAACTTCAATCAAAATGAGGTTAAGATTATTTTTAACAGATGTTCACTGCTGGCCTGACCCAAAATCCATTGACGTCAATGAGAAGACTCCATGGGGCTTTGGATTGGGTTCTAATTGTTGGAAAAATTAATGTTATTGTAAACCACTGGTCAGCGCTGTCACATGGTCCCCTTCTGTGCCAATTCTATATGACCGGATAACAGACTCACATAAATCTGTTCCAACTGTTGTCTAAGAGGCTAAAGGACACAGCGGTTTATCTTTTTAATTCTGAACCACCCCCTCTCCCCCCGCTCAGCACACCCCATGGCCCTACTGTATTTACACTTGATGGATTCAGCATTATGGACACTATTCATACAATCAAAACACTTCACAGCCAAACGCTGGATGGGAATAATAGAATTACTAATGCTGAGTGTGTGAAGACAGCTGAACTACAGATACGTACGAGATGAGATACTTTTTGGTTCATATACTTAAAACAGAGATTTTTAGGGTTTTTTTAATTTAAATACAGACCTGAAGAAAGGGTTGCACTTACTGTTAAGAAGACGGAAGTCTATAAATGGGTAGGAGCCACGGCGCTCAGAGAGAACCCCTGTCTGACCTCTCACCCGTGCATCTCCTGCAAAACACAAAATCCCCAGAGATATTAGGAGGGACAGCTGTCTTTCTCTGCTGTTTAGATCTAAATCTATTTTTTGTACAAAGTGATGACGTTACACTCCTCCACTGGGAAAACTAAGGTCCAAAAATGATCTTCCATGGCATCCCTGAGTAACTGGGTAAAGCACTACAGCTGATCCTCTTAACAGAACAAAGACACAAAAAACCCTTCGTTGTTGGCTGGGATGAAATGATACAATATTATCCTATTGAACAGCTTCTTGCCCAGCAAGCAGACTCTCACTGTTTCAGGAGTAGTGCAGAGGTCTGTTTTTTCCCAGGCAAGAACAGTTGAACTCTGACTGTCATGGCATCACACACAAAGGTCTCAACCCTGGACTAGGCTCACAATCCAACTGACTCCCAAAGTTGTGGGACTGGTCTCAAAATCATTAGGTGATGAAAAAGTCCCCCCAAAAGAGTACAAAGATTGTTTTTAAGGTTATGTGGTTTGGGTGTTGTGGGGTTTTTTTTTGCTTGATTGTTTGTTTTTGTTTTACTTTCTGCTCTTTGAGCATTCCAGAAAATGTAAGCCTTCTCCTCAAACACTGCAGCTGCTCTATGTAAGTGAAACCTGATGTTCTTAGATAAGCATTACTCCAGAGCTTTAGGGTACATATTCAAATATGATAAAGTGACAAAACAATACTAAGAATTAGTATTGCTAGGCAATTTAGATTGATTAGTTCTTGACCTAAACTGTGTAATATTGATGAAATAGGCAAAACTAATTTAAGGAGAAAAATGCTCTTCAGGATGAGTAAGAGTTACAAAACCTCTCTCCAAGTAAATAGAAAGTAGTGGGAAGCAGATGTAACTTTTATATTTCCAAAACTTTAAATAGTGCACTGCAATTGTTTCTTTACAGACAATTAACAAGACCAAAATATTAAAAATTCTTAAATAAGATGAAGTCTGGAGATTTTAGAGGTTCTAATTAGAGTACTCTAGTTCTTCATTATACCAGTTCCTCTTCTACAGAAACAGAGGCCACAGTGTTGAAAGCATACCCTCTGCACGTCCTCACACAGCTCTCACTGTAGTTCTCTCAAAGTTTGCAATGAAATTGTGAATTAGTTAGTTTGAATTGTCCTTCCTCCGATATACAAATATAGCATCTCAACAACAATAATTTAAGAATTTGGCTGCTAGTCCTGGCCTCTACTGCTTGTGTTTAAAAACAAGAAAACATCTTGGAGAGTAAAAGAAGGACCTAGTTAGATGCTGTTATTTTTTTCTATCTAATGTTCGCTTTAAATATGCTTACAATTATGTTTAAGGGAAGAAAGCCAAGTAGAATTATTAAGGTAAATATCTGAGGTGGAGAAAAACTTCCATGCCTTCTAGGGGTCCTCAGAGGTATGAAAGAAATATGAGTGTGCATGCAAATTAAGAATATTTCAAACACGGTCACTTTTGATTATAAATACAAATCTATATTCTCTCACCCTTTCGCTTAGCATTTTTGTTTCCAGAGACAGAACATGTGTTCCTTGTTCTCAGCTCCTGCTTGCCAACCCCTCACTCTAAGGAACCAGTTCAAAACAACTCAAGATGTTGTTGACCCCACTTACCCCTTCTGATAGCAGAGGCAGCAGGTGCAAACCTCTACCTACTCGTCAGCTGTTCCACTTCAAAGGTATGATAATACCATAGGTCTACCTTCATCAGCAGTTTAAAATTACATGCAACTTGTGGCAATGAAGGTATATGAACATATTTCCCTGCAATCCTCGTGTTAAAGGGCAGAAGGGTGGAGCAAATAGCTGGAGACTTTGTAAAACACCAAAGCAAGATTCATCAGCACCCATGTGCCAGAGCCCCATAAAGCAGCACCCAGACTTAAAAGCATTGCTCTCTGTCACAGGTAGCCTCATCAGATTAGCTGGTGTGTGCAGAAAGAGTAAGAATGGCAAGCATATGGTACACATTATATAGACTCAAAAAAATTAGGCAGGCTTGAGCCTGTTACTAATACAGGCATCAGCAAATTAAGAACGAGTGTAAATTCAGAGCATGCCTTGACCAAGGCTTTTGTTTTTCTGTAGGCACCAATGAATTAACAGGAAGCAGCAAATAGTCCCCTGCATTAACACACTGATAAACGTGTCACTTGTGACTAAATCAACAGATACTTTCAAAAAAAGAGAGAAATTCAAACTCCAAAAATCTGAAAAAAAAAATCCATGACATATAATACTGTAAACCCAGAAAGACTGATTTTTCTCTTTCGACATGAAATAATATATCTATTAGATCAAGTGAGGTACCACATTACTAGAGAGTAACAAAATCATACACAGTTACATATCGAAAGATTGCCTAACTCTGATCTCAACAGTATGACCCCAGATCTTGGAGAAGAGAACACTAAAGGTAGGTAGACAACTGGAACATGGAAGAAAACACAATGTGGGCTTACCAAAAGTAAACCATACGACACACTTAATTACCTCGAACAAAACAGCTAACTGTTAGACAAGAGGGAAAAATTCAATACTGTAGCGCAATTCAACCATGTGGACTTTGTCAAACACATAAGAGAAGGCAAGAGATGAGTACAAAAATTGAAGTTTGAAAATACTAGAAAATAACAAGGTGCACTGAAAGGAAACCTTTTCTTGGGAACTCCATGATCTTTAGAAAACTCATACTGGGAATGGTCCTAAAGATTTTTTATTGATGATCTTGACAAAGAATTAGAAAAGCACTAGCAATACTTGATGATAACACAAAGCTGAGAGATAGTGGGTACGTAGAGCTAAAACTATTTTAAATAAAGTTCACTACTACTGTCACCTTTTCTGCCCCAAGTGCTCTGTGGCCCAGCTACCTGCCTCTTACTGGTAGTCCAGCTTCCTCTCATGGTGTTGCTGATGTTTCACATCAAACTAAAGACTGGTCAACTCAGACACCTACGTACACTATCCAGACAAGCAATTCCAGCAAAGAGAGGGAAAGCAAGGGAGGTAATGATGCCATTAGTAAGAAATGTGAATGAGTTTTACTTAACTAGCAAAGCCAAGGACCTGAAGTCATGGCAAATTACTGATGATTCCAATCAGCTATTTTACATTTTCTACAGATAATATAAGTTTGGGCTGTCTCTAGCACTATAGGAATCTATATGCACAATAAATCTGCATCTCTGATCACTTAGAAAAAGCCACTAAAATCTTTATATTCTATGATTATTAACTTTATCCTCAGGGAAGGCAAGTTTCTGATGAGTCGAAGATGTTATCAAGTAGCTCTACCTCATGAATGTGTTATTTCAAAATACTTCACCAGGTGCCACCTAGTCTCTCTCTCCATCATTAGAGGAAGATTAGTTAGGAAATGATGGCGAGTTAAATCAACCACACCTCTCTTCCTCCATTTTTTCTTGGCTCACATATTTGGAAAACATTTACATACTTCCCTATTACTTTTAATTACATCTAAGTACACTCAACAGAGACACTAAGAATAGGAATTGCACCAGAGGTACAACATATCACACGGTTTTTAATGTCCAAGAGGTGAGAGCCATTCATGGCAACACACCAGATTTTCTTTTTGTCATTTTGACAGAGGACTTTGAGGGCAACTTTCATCAGTCCACCAGAGCTTTACATCTCTTTGCTCTCCACCTTAAAATCAAGCTAAACAATTGTTCGGACAATTTATGCTATTAGCAGTTTTAGATAAATAATCCCTTTCAGAGTAAAAGGAAGGATTCGTTGGAAACAAGGCAGGAAATTTTGACAGCTCATTGTGTTCCCAAATGAAACAAGCAGGGTGAAGGGAAATGGCCAGGGTACAGGTTCTCTTGACTGCTTTGGGCTGAAGATGCAAGGCTGGGACATCTGCGGCCACAAACACGAAGGGCTGCGCTCTCACTGGCGCCAAGTTGCCGCAGGAGCTTCCAGCAGTGACATCTCCCAGGGGCTGCTGTGCTCCTGAATTTTACTCAGTCCTTGTTAAAACAGACAAGAAAGCAAACCAAACAAACCAAAGCAACCTACAAAAGGAGCCTGTGCAGTGCATGCTGTGACTGACATGCATGACAGCTTACAGGCATGAGAAAATAGGCTATGGGGCAAGAACGACAGCACTCTGGCAGCCACAGCATCAACAGGATTTCAAGATGATTCAGAAGGGTTAAGAAAAAAATGAGGCAGCTCTTAACTGCCTGTCACATCTGGAGGAAAAAGCCATTTGCACAGAGCAAAACAACTTCTCCGAGATTTGCCTTAAATGATGTGCTATTCAATTTCACTGAGCAAGCACAACAAATTAGGAGAGAAAATAGGGCCGTAGCTGTGACAAAACAACAGAGCAGCTTCATGCAACAGAAGTTAGAATGAACCACCAAATTTTTTATTTTATTTAGCACACAGCTCCATGTGCTAAGTCAGGAATACCACAGCAAATTCACAAGCGGTTATATCTATTTATTCTAGTCAAGCTTTTCTACAGTCTTCATCCCAATATTTTTTAAATGGAGTATTTTAGAGCATGTACTGCAGCAGTGACTACTTTTCATGGAAAACCAAGTGGCAGAAGTAAGGCCTCTTGTGGACTCCATGGAGCCCCTGGTTCCTCCACTATTTCAGTTATGAAAAGGCTTGGGATTTCTGAGTTAAAGGAAGAGGAGTTGTTTATGTTTTAAGCATCAATCTGGTTTTAGTGGAAAGCTTTCTAGAAGAGGGAAGTGTTGCTGCATAAAAGCAGCAAAGTGAAAAGTTTCCAGAATTACTGGAATTATATTTTATTTGAAGAGGTTGAATGCTTGTTCATGGTGATTTGTGCTTGTTTGGATTATTTTCATTTTGTTGTAATAGGGCTATAAATTTACTGTAAATTCTTGTTCGCAGAAAGCATTTTATAAGGATTTCCTCGTGTATCAGTTCTTCAGTAAAAAGGACATTTCCTCTGAACAGACAACAGCAAAACTGATCTTAGGGGTTACAGAGA